ACCAGTCCCTCTGCAGCAGCCATGGGGAGTAAAATCTCAAAAGCTGCAGAAGAGCTTATGACTTGCCCCAAAATTCTGATGCATGCACATTTAAAGCAGAAAACTTCAGGTTTCACATCTGTATTACCATATTTTATGTAGTTTTAGAATAATTTGGTTTCCCAATGTAGGTTTTTATGCAAGTAATGAGACTAACAAGCAGCATCAGAACCTATTATAAAGATGGGATGAAGTATCATGTCCTTGTCAGCATAAATAACCTGCTGATCTTCAAAGGGTTCATGCAGTATTTTCTTGCCTTTGGGCATTTTGCTATCTGAGATAGACAGATGTGGCAGATGTCTTTTGTTTCTAGCTCCATGTAGAATTAATAATTTAAATGGGGAAAATATTTTGAAAGCATGTAATGTGTGTTATAAGGCAAACACGAGTATGACATTAATAGGTTTTAATTTCTGTGTTGGTGACAGTGAGAATTAAGCCTAGCCATAGGAAAACAGTTTACTGATTAACTGGTTTATATACTCACTGGAATATCTGTGTCTCTAACAACTATGTGATGGGTGAGCTTCTCTGACACAGTCATCTCTCAGACCGTTCCCTGCTGATTGCCTTTTGCAATGGGAAGCTCCCTGGATGTGTCTGTGTGCAGGGCTTACGTAAAAATGTCTCTGCAGCCAACTTATACATGTTTCCAAGTAGCTGGTTTTCCTGGAATGCGTATGGGGTTGATTTTATCCAGTCATTTAGTGATAACCTACGACCAGTAAATGTGTAGAAAGTCCTGGATTTCTAGATTCGTTTTTTTTTTTTTAATGAAGCAGTCCTTCTACAAGAAGATTGGAGGTGTGGAAGCTTTATAGCCAAGTCTAGCTTAGAAATAATTGGTTAAAAGGACGAAAGATGTGAGAAGGGGTGTCCTGGGGACTTGTCTTCCCAAGGAAATGTTTGCCATACTCTCCTCAATGCAAAGAAAAACATAGGGACAGGGTGTGTGATTTTAATTTCCTACATGAGGCAGAGCCTGCCTTGGGCTGGGCTGGAGGGGCTGGCAGGGCCATTGTCCCCACATGTGTGGGAGCTGGCAGTGGGTGAAGATGAGAGGGGCAGGAAGCAGGGCCTATCCATTGCCCTGTGTCCACCAGTTTGAGCATGACGGGGCAGAGGCTTGAGCAAAAGAGCACCAGGAGGAGCTGGATGGGGCAAAACATCAAGAAAGGGTCGTTGTGGTGGAGAACAGCACTGGTGACCCCACTACACATCCCATCCTCTGCCAGCAGCCCACTGTAACCAGGAAATACGCTTCACTCTGTGTTTGCTCAATCCAGAATGTAGGGGTGCAGAGGTGCTGCAGTTTCTCAGGCTGTTTTGAGCTGTGACCAGCAGTGCCACTGAGCCATACCACGACCTGAGGTCTGAAGAAGGGACCAGCACTGCAGTGGGTTGCGCCCCTTCCCAGGCATTTGCAAGCATCAGGGATGGAACAAAATGTGTGCGATTGGCCCAGCTCTTGAATCCCAGCTGCTCTTAATAAAAGTCATCTTTGTAACAGAGCAAGCAGCTGTCTTATTGTTTTCAGATAATTATTAATTTTAATTTGAACAGATGTATGAGCCACTGTGTTGCCAGAAACGGCATCATCAACAGTGAAGGCAGTTAGCAGCAGCTTAACAAGTGAAAGGCTGGGTTTAAATTAGTGATGTTCTGTAGCTCCTAATTCTTTTACCCTGTAGGAGGAGAGGATGAGCAAGAGGCAGAGACCTCACTGAGCACACTTATTGCCATGGGCAGACAGGGGCAGCATGGCAAAGGCAGAAAGTACAGGAATGTACAGAACTATAAAGAAGAATAAAGTATTGCCTTCAACTGGGAGGGCAAGCTGGGCAATACCGATTTCTGCATCCCCTGCACCGTGCCTGCAGGGCTCAGGTAGAAGCCTTCAGGGGATGGGAGTCTTGTCAGTCCAGGCCAGTGCACAGCTTCACATCTCAGTTATTTTATCTGGGTTGTTTTCAGCTTGTGAGGAGTTATGCAGCACACAGCAACAAATTTTGATAATACTAGAAGTGACAAGATCTGATGTGAAGAGGATGAAGGGAGGTTCTGGAGGATTTTGGAAAGCCGTTGTGCTATCTGTGCTCCTGTGTGATGGTGCTGGTGTAGCACAGATGGACAGATCTCACTCAGCATGTCTGAACATGACTGCTCCGGCAGCTGGGGAGATGAAAACTCTTCCTGGTGTGAGACATGAAGGAATATGTGTGCAGCCTGCTGGGCTAAGCTACAAACCTGAAATCCGAGCAGACACAGCATGGTATTTGTAGTGAGAAGCAGAAGGAGGTGATATGAAAAATCTGGGTTTGAGCTATTATGACAGGAAGCACAAAACTGGTTGTCAGCGCCTTCAAGAATTATAAAAGGTTTGAGCCAATGTCCTAGCATGGAAATGGCAGACTGACAGCACACGGTGCCATCAGGATTGGGTGTGAAATGTATACATGCGAAAAAAGGCAGCACTGGCTTTTTGTCCCTGGATGTCAGTGCCTTCACATCTGCATTTATGGAGCTGAAACATTGCAAATGTCCTTTTTCAGGACAAATGGCAGACATTTCATCTGACTAGATAGGGGTCTTTCAGCTACTATTGTGTGGCGTGCAAACTGTATACAAATCTGGGGCACCATGTGGAAGTAAGGAGAAAATGCTTGATTTATGTGTCTTCCATTCTGGTCTTAAAAGTATAACGCACCACCTCACTGCACTGTACAGGCACTTGAACTGTGACTGCAACCTTGGAAATGAGACAATTATGTGAATAATTCAAGCTTTTTGCATAGACAAGGCCAGGGCAGCCCATTACTGTTCACTAATATCAGCTGAAGGGGGAGTGCTGCTCTGGTCTGCATGGAGGTTTATTTAATAACACCAGTTAGTGCAGAAAATAGGTTAAAGAATGCATGAGAGTTATTCAGAAATTAAAAAATCTAAAAAAATATTAGGCATCTGTTATTGTGGACTCGAATAACTCCTGAAAGCTTCCTTAGTACTAGTCTATTGATCTATTCTATTTTATTATGCCTAAGTCAACCTAATGTCAAGCCATGAAACTGGCAAAGGAAGAGCTAGCAGCAAAGTTGGTGTAGATTTGTTTGCCTTCCCTCTTCCTCCAACTTGTAAAGCTTACATTTTGGAGCTAGCCTAGCTAGAGAGTACTACACCATGGCAGATAATCAGCTGCACATCATCGGTTTTGTATTTGTTCGAGGCTGGTTTTGAGTTTGTTTGTTTTTTTGACTACGATGGGATTGTTTAGTACTGCACTGTCAGACTCTGAATTGTGGGCTTTAGTCCAAGCTGTCCTGCTGGTCACAGTCTCAAAGCCAACCCAGTCATCACAACTGGCTTTTAAGCCCCGTCACTGGACTCTGATATCATGTTGTCCCACCACTGCCTGGTCAGGCTGTTGTCCCACAGGGTTGCTTCAGTCTTCAGTTAGCACCGAGGATATAGGAGATGAGATGGTCTGTGCATCAGTCTGCACATACCTCAGCATGGGCCAGCCCAGAGCAGCCCTTCTTGTGCTGTGCTCTGGAGACTAAATTCACGGAAAGGTAAGGCCAGCACTGCTGGTATCAGGATGACCTTTTTGTTTCTGATAGATACTAAGCAGTTTTACAGGGTGAGCTTTACAAAGGCCTTATGGGTCAGAGAGTTTGCTTGACGGAGTGTTTATGGCTCTCCTCAGGATTTCCTCTTCCCCTCCTTTAAAGACCTCTGCCTTCTGCCAGGCTCTTGGCACCCTCCGGAGTGATGCCAACTGCTCCTCAGGGGTGACGCCCACCTCTGGTGCTGGGCCACAGCCTGCAGCAGTTGGTCAGATGGGTTCTGCTCCTCCGATCCCATGGTTGGAAGCCAGATTTCTTCACTGTTGCTCAAGAAGTGCTTTATCCTAATCACCTGGAAAGTGACCCTTCCCTCTGCCCAGTGGCAGTAGAATGTTGTTTGGCCGTAGGTTTGCATCCTTCCATGGAAGTGACAGAGACTTCACTGCTTCTTCTGCCCTACTGAAGTTTCTGCCTTTGCCAGCAGATGCTCTGCCTTTCTTTCCATCAGCTACTAACACAATGTCTCTAAATTAATACTGTGTACTCAAGAAATATTTGGGATGTGTTTTCATTACCTTTTCTATGCTTTTTTAAATAACTATTTCAACCCTAAAAATACTTTAAAAAATATTATGTCTTTTAATTGCCTTAGCTCTTCTTTACACTCTTATTTCTAAGACTGTTATTTTTTTCCTAAACCTTCCCAGAAAACATTTCTCCAGCTTTTTTTAACTGAGAGGTATTTGCTTGCAACATATGATATTGTACAGATTACATACTGTAAGTTTTAAAGATAGCTTTATAGAACATTGTTATTTAATTTGGGGAATGCTCAGTATATTTTTATTGTTGAATGTATTCTAAATTGTTAAATATGGAGACTGATTAGAGAAGAAAACATGATAGGACATTAACAAACTAGCGGATGCATTCTCTACTCTTTTGAGCATTGTATAATCATTTACACTTGGGCAAAGCAAGTGGTGGTGTGTGGGTGCTATTAAAACACTGACAGTATCTTATAAGTGTTTAATGCAAGATTTAAATTATACTGTGAGATAACCACACACTGGGAAATAGCCCCAGAATCAGCTCAATCTCACACTGACAAAACAAGGTCAGGTGAAAGACTGTTTTCCTGCATTGTCAAGAGCATTTAAACACCTCCCCTTCATTGAACTAACCTTGGAACATGCAGCTTTAAAAATTTATCTGAAATACATTTGTCAGATGAAATATGACTTTGCTTATGCTTGTGTTCCAAAATTCATGCACACAAAGTATTTTTACAACTTTGAAAAGTAGTTTTGCTTTACTGCAAAAATTTAGACTTTACCACAATTATTTGATTTGTTGTGTGTTTTTACAACTTTCTTTTTCTTTTGTTGTTTTCAGTTTAAAAGATCTTATCCAGAGTGAAGATGTGAAACCCAAGCTGCAGTACATCATGACTAACCCTTCCTTTTCTATGGTAACAGTTCAAAGTGAAGACAGTGGGATAACCTGGGAAACCAGCTCGAGCAGGTGTTCCACTCCCTGGGCCTCAGAAACTAGTACAACCTCTGATCTCTACAGTATTGAAAGTTCACCAGTAGGTTCTCCTCCAGGAAAAGTTATCTTTATTATGGATGAAGGTAAGATTATTCGGAAAAGGAAGCGCAAATCATCAAATAGGGTGCCAGTGGCTGTAAGACTGAAGGGAGGTCAGGGAAATAAAAAACGTGACTCTTCTGGAATGCAGAGGCAAGAACCAAGAACCATTCTAGGAGATGTGCAGGCCTCCATGTTGAACGTCGAACAGCTGGAAGCACAAGACACAGATGAGGAAATGCTGGATGACAAAGAAGATCTAGAGTATATCGCAAAAAAGCCAGTAAAACGTGCTCCGATAAGATCAATATTTAGAGAGAGCAGACTGAGAAAAGTAGGACCGATCCTTGGAGGACCAGTACAAGCTAGAATCCAGCTGTTCAACACAATTTTTGGAGGGGCTGGGCCAGCCCCTGAAACACTGGAGAAAACCAGAATCCAGAGAAGTGGCTCAGTTTCAGGAGATCCTGAACAGTTCCTTGAAACATCAGTAAAAGAAAGATTGCAGAAGTTCAGTGAGCTTTCACAGGCAATGCAGTCAAAAGCCTTCCACAGAACAAGAAGTAGAAAACTTGAAACACCATCAGAGAGAAGAAAGGAGCAAAGAAAACAACCCACATCACATGCAAATCAAAGCTATTCTTCACCAACAACACCTCTTGAAAAACAGCTTTCTGATAAAGGTGATGTTTCATCTGAAAATATTGAACCTGTTAGAAAAAAAGATAAACCAAGCAAATTTTCAACCTTTAGTGCAGAAACAGCTCTTCAACATGAAGAAAGAAAAGACAGACAATCTCTTTTGGAGACTCCAAATCAAGTATCAGGGGAGTCACTGAAGTCCTGCCCTTCTGAAGAAGTCAGGAAGCAGCAAAGCTATTCACCTGCAGTCAAAACATCAATAACAGAGCAAACAACCTCCACTTCATTTAAGTCTGATGAGGAATCAGAGAAACAAATGCTGCCTCCCTCAGCTGAAAATGCAAACAAGAAACCAGACCAATCCCTTCTGACAGCATCAGGTTATCTGGATGAACTTAAGGAGCAGGAAATTCAGTCCAGACCTGCAGCAGAGTCTGTTTCAGCAGATTTTGTTAAGGAATTAGATAGTAAAAGTACCCAGCCTATTTTGCCTACAGCATCCATGTCAGAGCATCCTGAGAGGGAAACACTGAAGTTAGCAGTTCAGTTATACTTACCTAATGCTCCATCACCTAAATCCAAGTATTCCACTCTGTCTGAAACAAGTCAGGAGGATGTTATTCCTCAGTCATCAGAAATGGAACAATCTGAGTCCAAACATGTGCTTTTACCAGATTCTGTATATGAATTAGAGAAGCAAGAAACTGAGTGTCACTTATCAACAACGGTGTTGTCAGAAACAGGTCTTTCAGGTCTACTGTATTCCGCTAAAAAAAGAGAAGGTCAAAAGACACCACCACTGGAAAGTCAAAATGTTCACGTAGAGAAGCAGACAAAGTCCAAACAAGACTTTTCATCCTCCCTTCAGGAAACAGAGGAGCAAGGAATTAAACTAAATCCACCTATTCCTGAAAATATAGATTCTAAATATTTTGGCATTTCGTATCCTATTCACACAAAACCAGAAGAAACTCAGAAAACTTCAGCTATAAATAAAGCAGTAGATTCGAATCATACTGATTTTTCCATTGAAAAATGCAAAGAAGCAGAGAGTGTGCAAATGGAGGTGGAGCATCTGGATTTCTCATATCCCAGCAAAGAAACTGGGGAATTAGAAAGAACACAGATGGAGACAGAGTTTCCAGACTTCTCTTTTTCCAAGGAAGAAATAGAAGAATTGGAGGGTGCACAGATGGAGATGGAGCATCCAGACTTTTCATTTTCCAGGGAAGAAATTGAGAAATCAGAAAGTACACAACTGGAGAGAGAACATCCAGATTTCTCATATGCCAGAGAAGAAATGAAAGAACTGGAGAGTGCACAGCTGGAGATCAAGCATCCAGATTTCTCAGATTCCAAGGAAGAAACGGAGGAATCAGAGAGCACAAAACTGGACACGGAATATCCAGAATTGTTTTTTTCCACAAAGGAAACAGGGGAATCAGAAAATGCACAACTGGAGATTGAACATCCAGATATCTCATATGCCAGGGAAGAAACAGAGGAATCAGAGAGTTTGCAACTGGAGAAAGAGCATCCAGAATTATTTTCCATGGAAGAAACAGAAGAATCAGAGAGTGCACAGCTGAAGACAGAGCACCCAGACTTTTCTTTTTCCAGGGAAGAAGTGGAGGAATTGGAGAGTGAACAGCTGGAGACCAAGCATCCAGATTTCTCAGATTCCAGGGAAGAAATTGAGGAATCAAAGAGCACGAAACTGGACACAGAATATCCAGAATTGCTTTTTTCCACAAAGGAAACAGAGGAGTCTGAGAGTACACAACTGGAAACAGAAAACCCAGATTTCTTATATGCCAGGGAAGAAACAGAGAAATCGGAGAGCACAAAACTTGGCACAAAATATCCAGAATTGCTTTTTTCCATGAAAGAAACAGAGGAATCAGAAAGTGCACAGCTGGAGACAGAGCATCCAGACTTTTCTTTTTCCAGGGAAGAAGTGGAGGAATCGGAAAGTGCACAGCTGGAGACAGAACATCCAGGTTACTTATACTCCAGCAAGGAAACTGGAGAATCAGAAAGCGTACAACTGAAGATGGAGCACCCAGATTTCTCGTATTCCAGAGAAGAACTGCTAGAATCAGAGAGTGCACAGCTGAAGATGGATCATCCAGACTTTTCTTTATCCAGGGAAGAAATGGAGGAATCGGAAAGTGCACAGCTGGAAACGGAGTATCAGGAGTCTTTATTTTCTGGAGAAGAAGCAGAAAAACAAAAACCTGTTCCTTTTGACCTGAAACAGCCAGAGTCTTATTCCCTTGAAGAAGCAGAGCCCGAAGAAGCAGCACAGCTTGCACTGGTACCGTCAGATTTGTCATGTTTGATGGAAGAAGCAGAGAAAGAAAGCACTACAAAACTCCAGTTGGCACATCCAGTTACATCAGATTCCACCAGAAGAGCTGAGACACAGCAAGCTGGGTATCTGGAAACTGCACTTTCATATTTACCACGTCCCACAAATAAAACAAAGCATCAAGAATTAGTAAAAGCAGATTTGGACAATTCTCGCCTCTCAAATTTTGGTGACAAAGGAGAACAGCTGCACGCTGTACAGCAGGGTTCACAGCCTGGAGGAAGGCTGTACTCCTGTGCCATGGGAGTGCAAGGAGAAACTACTCAACTACAGACAGAGCATCCGATTTTGTCATATTCTACTGGAAAAGAACAGAAACATAAAATCTCACAGCTGAGGGCAGAACAGCCATATTCCACTGACAAAACTGAACAACAGGAAATACTGCAACCAAAGTTGGAACAAGCAAATTCACCATATTCCCAGGGAGAAACAGCACAAGAAGTTGTACAAAGAGACTTAGAAGGTCCGGAGCCATCATGTTTCATTAGTGAAGCAAATCAACATGAAAGTGTACAACTGGCTTCAGAAAACTGGAATTTCTCATCCACCACTGGAGAAGTAGTGCAAGAAGGAGTGGAGTCAAGATCTTTGGGCTCTTTGCATTCAATTGACAGAGCAAAGCCCTGGGAAATGGCACAAATGGAGCAGAGGCAGTTGCTTCCCTCCTGTTCCACTGCTGGTAGTCAGCAACAGGAAACACCACCTCTGGATGTGGCCCAGCCAGATGTATCACATTCCTTTGGCAGAATGAAACAAGAAGATATAGTACAAAGACAGCTGGAACAGCAGGAAACAGCCCAACAAAAAGCTATGCAAATAGAAATGGAATATTCAGATTTGCCGGAAACTTGGGGGAAAGAACAGTCACAGGTCGGAAATCAATTTAATCTGGCAGAGCAAGAAACAGCTCAACGAGACTTAGTGCATCCATCTTTGCCATATTCTTTCAGAGAACAAACAAAGCAAGAAGAAATGCAAACACAGTCAGTACACCCAGAACAGGCATTTTATGCAAGTGCAGAAATGCAGAAGGGAATGGCACAGAACAAATCAGAGCAACCATTTCTTTCATGTTTTACCAGCAAAACAGAGCAACAAGAAATAGTACATCCAGAGCTGGAGGAAACAGTTTTGCCATCTTCCAATGGAAGAGAAGCCCCACTGGAAATGGAAGTAAGTTCAGAATATCAAGATTCATCATATTCCTTTCAAGAAGCTGAGCAACAAAAAAAGTTGAAACATCCAACCTTGCCGTTTTGTTTGAAGCAACAAGAAACTGCACCACTGGTGATGAAACATCCAGATTTTTCAGGTGTCAGTGGTGAAGCAAAACCAGGTGACATCATAAAGCCAGAGTCAGGACATCCAGAGCTCTCATACTCCATGGAAGAAACACAACAATTACCTGAACATTTGGATTCACTAGGAACCCTGGGTAAAGCAGCACAAGATGAAAATATGGAAGTGGAATCTAAATACCCAAATTTATCATGTTCTGATGACCAAAGAAACCAGCAAGAAACTTCACAATTGGATTCAAAATATCCAGATTTATCCTTTTCCTTGTACAAAGCCAAGGAACAGGAAAGTCAAGAGTTTGAGTCTAAACATGAAGAAATGCCTAAAGTGGCCAGGAAAAGAACTTCTCCAGCAACTACACAAATAGAGTCAAAACATCCAGATTTGACATATTCCCCTGGCAAAGCAAATGAGACAGAATTTGCACCGTGGGAAATGAAACATCCTGATTTGCCACATTCCACTGATGAGACAAACCGACAAGAAGTAGTACTGTTGGAGCAGAAACTCCGAAAAATTTCTGTTGGCAGAGAAAAACAGCAGCAAACCACAAAACAGCAGTTAGAGCAAGAAAAGTTACGACATTCTCCTGGTAAAACTGAGCAATTAAAACATGCCCAAGAGGATGTGGAACAACCAGATTCATCATTTTCCATTGACAGGCCAGATGATGAAATGGCCCAGTCAGAGGCAGAGCACACTGGTGTGATATATCCTCTGGACAACAAAGAGGTGGAACAAAAAGTACAACATGAAATGGAACAAACTTACCCCTTTGGAAAAGCAGAAGAGAAAACGGTTCAGCCAGAAGTGGAAATTCCACATTTGACCCTTTCTGTGGGTACAGCAGAAGAAGAAATGGCTGAACCAGGGCAGGTTCCTGATTTGCCTTATTCTATTTTCAAAGCAGGAGAACTGGAAACTGCACAGCTGAAACCTGAACAGCCTGGTCTAGCATGTCCCCTCAACAAAGTGCAGGAAAGGACCCAGCTGGGATGGGAACAGCCAGATGTGTTTCATGTTCATGACAAAACAGAGCAATTCCCACCTGCCCAGCAGGAGCTGGGCTGCGCAGATTTGCCACCCCCCACTTGTAAAGTGGGGCAGCAAGGGATGGAGCCCACAGCCTTGAGATGCCCTGTTGAGGAACACTCTGTCAGCAGACCTGAGGATCTGCAAGCTGCAAAAGAGAAACTAGGAGCTTCAGATGCATCATCTCGTAGTGGAAAAGTGGAGCAAAAAGAATTGGCAAAACCAGAGTCAAAGCATCCTGTTTTATCTTATTTCATTGATAAAATAGAAACAGAAGAAACTACACAACTGGTGTTAGGAAAACCAAGCCTATCATCTTTGCCTGGCAAAACAGAGTTAGCAGAAACAGCTCAAGAGGAGCAGTCAGGCTTCTTGCATGCTTTCAAAAAAACTGCACAGGGAGAGAAAGCACAGCCAGAATTGGGACATTCGCAGTTATATTCTTCTCTTAGTGAAGCAGAACAAGAAACCGCACATGCGAAATCAAACTGTGCAGATTTATCTGCTGGCAGATTAGAACACCATGAAATCATACACTCAGAGGCAGAAATAATGGATTTATCATGTTCAATTGGTGAAACACACCAACCTCAAATTGCTGAAGTGGATTTGGAGTATCCAGATTTATTGCATTCCACTGGTACAGTACAGCAACAAGTAAAGATTCAACCAGAGCAGGAACAGCCAGGTGATGTTTCACCATCTCTCAGCAAAGAGCAATGGGAAGGTGCAAAAATACAGGCAGAAAGCTCTGAGTTGCAGTGCTCTATGGGGAAAACAGGACTGCAAAGTTCCCAAGCAAAATCAGAATATGCAGATTTGTCATTCTCTGTTGACACATCAGAAACTTATAAAACAACACAGCCAGAGTTGAAAGAACAAAATTTGTTGCATTCTTTCATCAAAACAAAGCCATCATGGCCTGCTCCCATGGCATCTGAACATCCAGAAGTCTCAGATGCCATGGGCAAAGTACCGCATCTTGATTTATCCTCTTCTGTTAATGAAGAAAAACGAAGTGCACACCTGGAGGTCAAACAGGAGAGGGGAAGCTATGCATTACACCCAGAGGAAACAGTACGACTGAAATTGGAACAGCAGATGTTTTCAAGTTCTCGTGGGACAGCAGAGCAACCAAATAGAGCCCCACTGGAAGGTGAATTCCTGGACTTCTTGTATTCCTATGACAAAGAAGAGCAACCAGAAATGGCAAAACAGGAGTTGGAGCATTCAGATTTATCTTACTCCACTGATAAAACACAGCAACAGGAAACCACACAATTTGAGTTAGAACAACCAGATTTATCATCTTGCCCTAGGAAGGCAGAACAACCACAAGTTCAAGTGGAAGCCGAGCACCGAGACTTGCCGCATTTCCCTGGAAAAACAGAATGGCGAGGAACAGGGCAACCACAGGTTGAGCATCCAGATATGTCATATTCCAGTGACAAAGTAGAGCAGCCACCATCTACACTATGGCAATCAGAGCAGCCTGTGAAAACCCACCCCACTGGAAAAAGAGAGAAACAAGGAATGGCACATCCAGAGCCGGAACCTTCCGGTTCATCATTTTCCATTTGCAAAACACTGTCACAAGAAGCAACACAAATGGAGTTAGGGCAACAAGATTTAACATGTGCCCTTGGTAAAACAGATGAAATGCAAACTGTGCAAGGTGAACTGGAACATACAGGTTCCTTGTATTCTCCTGGCAAAAGAGAACAAGAAATAATGATTTTGCCAGACTTGCGACATCCACAGTTGTCTTATCCTGTTAGAGAAACAGAAGAGGAATCTACACATCAGAAATCAAACTATCCATATTCATCATATTCTACTGGTCGGCAAGAGCAACATGAAATTGAACAACCAGAGGAAGAAGAAATGGATTTATGCTATCTAGCTGGCATAGCAGAGCAGTCACAACCTGCCCAGGAAGTACTGCAACAGCCAGAGCTTTTGGAGTCCTTTGGCAAACTAGAGGAAAAGGGAATGGCCAAGCCTGGCTTTTTGCACTCCCTTGGTGAAGAAAAGCAGAAATCAGCTTCACAATTAGACGTAGCACAACCAGGTTTATCACGTTCACTTGGCAAAACAGAAAAACAGGAAACTGCACAAGCAGGCTTTGTGCCTTCTGATTTTTCATATTCCACAGGAAAAGCAGAGCATTTGCAACCAGCACAACTGAAATCAAAATGTCCAGATGTGTCATATTCTCTTGGCAAAGCAGAGACTCATGGAATGAAACAACCAGATTTATTGTACTCCTATGGCAAGGGAGAGCAACTGCAGGCCACCCAGCTGGAGCATCCAGAGACATCGTATTTCACGGGTGAAATGAAGTGGAGGGATGGGGCCCAACCTGAACTGCAGTGCATTAATTTGCATTCTGTTGTCAAAAGAAAGCAACCAGAAACACCTTCTGTATCACATACCTTGGGCAGGATCGAGGAGCAGAGAACTGTACAGCCAGACTTTGAGCAATCAGTTTTATCATGTCCTACTGACAAAGCAGAAAAACATGAAGTGGTCCCGCTGAGAGCAGGACATTTGGAGAAGACAAACACTGGGACTACTTCATCTCTAACTGCTCAGTTGGAAACTGAACAAGATTTATTCTTTTCCACTGAGGAAGCAGAGCACCAAAAAAATCAACCATATTCATCTCTTACCGAACAAACACCTTTGGGTGTTTCACATTCTGTCTCTGAAACAAAACCACAAGAAAGCCCAGAGTCTTCATCTGTAAGTGGAGGCCTGTCCCCCAAGCACTTAGCTTCATCTTATACCCACAGTAAAACAGAGCAGCCAGAAACTGTCCAGCCTGAATCAGGTTTCTTCTTTGCAAGAAGAGATGCAGAAAATACAAGCAGTCTTCTACATTTGCCTGTGGCTGCACAGTCAGAGGCTGAACATGTAATTTTACCTGAAACAGAGAGAGAACAGACTCCACATTACCTCCACACAGCTATGCAATTAGAATCTGAACAATTAAATCTATCATATTCTACAGATAAAGCAGAAACTCTAGAAAGTCAAGATTATTTAACTGTACCTACAAAACTGGAGTCTAAACCCTCAGTTCCGCTTTATTCAGCTGATGAAACATGTCAGCAAGAAATTCCATCTTATTCAAAACCAATCTCTGAGTATTTGGTCCCTGAATGGTCCCTTGTTGAACAAGAAAAGCAAAGCATGCAGCCAGTTATTCCCCAGTCTGCACAATTAGAGAGTAAACACCTAATTCCACCACATGATGAAAAAGAATTGCAAAAAAATCAGCTCTATTCACCTAAAACAGCAATCCTGAAGACAATGCAGTTGGAGGCTATGTCTGTAGTGCACACACAAGACCAAGATGAGAAAGAATCTCAAGATCGTTTGTTGGACACAAAATATTTGTCATCAGAGCAGGTAAGAAGTTCCCCCAAATACACTACTGAGCAGGATAAGCAAGAAATGCAACCTGATGTGCAGACAGTGCCAAGGTCAGTGACCACAGAGTCAAAAGTGACTGCTGTAGCAGACCAGCAAGCAGTATCATCAGATTCATTTGCACCTTTCTATACATTACCTGAAAAGTCAGTAACAGTAGCTTTCACTGATGATGAAAAGAAACAAAATATTCCACCATCTTTATCTGCCATAGTAGGCATACTTGGAAAGCAATCTAACATAGTTTCAGGCATTTATACTGAAGGAGAGGATAGATGTGAACTGCAACCATGTTTTGGAGACAAAAAGGATGCATCCTTAGAGCATCTGGGAGCTGTTTCATCAGATCTTGTTTCTGAAACTGTGACACAAAATACTCAACATTATTCTGGTGAACAGGGCAGTCTTTCTTCAGCAGAGATGAAGCCTGTTAGCTCTAGTTCTGATGAAAAGCAAAATCCAGATATTCCACCTTTTGGACTAGCTAGCTGGTTGGCAGAAGAGGTGAAGTCTCGCTCACTTAGTCCAATAAGAGCTACAGAAGTAGACAGGCAAGAAATTAAACTTCCTCCAAATGAAGCTTCTGACTTTGGATCAAAACAATTCCCATCTGAAAGTTGCACAGAACTTACAGTTCATGGTACTACACAGAATAAAAAACAAATGTTTAGAGGTTCTGAATCAGTGTCAAGCAAAACTTCCCCCAGAGTGTCCTCAGACACAAGTCACAGAGCACAAAGGTATGATTTACCATCTCTGGGAGGAGATAACCCAGGTCCAGACAAAGTTCCAGAGCATGAAACTAGCATTGGAAACGCTGAAAAAATGGAAGCAATGCAATGTCCAGAGGTAGACAAAGTGTCTGAAGTGCTTGAACATTACCTGAGAGAAGAAGAGGAAGAAATGGAACATGCAAGTGCTCCAGAAGAGAGTCAGCATGTTTCAGAGCCTACTGAACAAAAGGATCTATTTAATATAATTTCAGAAGGTTATGAAATACTCAATATTCATGCTCCTATGCATATTTCATCTGTTGATCAAGAAGAAAGTAAACACATGCCAGATAAACTGGAATACTTGGAAACCAATCCTCTATTTAAAAGAAAATTAGCCGATGATGGCGATAGATGCCTACCTTCTGGAACAACCACAGAAATTTCTGAAAGCTCAGTGTTGGGAAAGCCTGCAAGCCATGAACTGAAAGAATTGGTAAAAAATGATGACATTGAGGAAACTAGAGAAACACAACAAGAAAACCCCATGTTGCCAGAAGACAATAATAATGTAGTGTTGGATCCTAATAATGGTATGGCCAATGTGGATTATTTTGAAAAATATACGTTGATTGATGATAAATCCCCAATTAAGCCACATTTTGAGAGACCGAGTTCATTGTTTCCTGTGGCAGAAGATCCCAGTGAACCTGTGGAAGAGGTCATATCTTTTAAAGAAACCACTGAGGCTGATACTTTGGAAGAGGAGTTTCCCTTACTTGAGGATCTGGATGAAGTCTTTTATGGTGCTGTGAAAGAAGAAAGCAAAATGCAGCCTTATGCAGATGTTCCAAAACCTTTACTTCTGCAGAAATCAATTGATTTTGGCAGCAGAAAGGTTACAAGTGTAGAAGATGAATGGAAATCACCAGGGAACCCACTCTTTGATTCCGAAGAAGGAGTGCTAGAGCGATCTCTGTTGTTCCCTACCACTGTTGCTGCAGTTAATCCAGAGCTCCTAGAGGAGCCACCTGCTCTGTCATTTTTATACAAGGACCTCTATGCGGAAGCAGCAGGAGAAAAGACAAAAGATGAGACT